ATGACCCATGAAATGTCAGAGTTGACAGATTTATAGAAATTGTGTTGGTGAGAGAGAGAGAGCAGAGGGCACGGGGCGTCTCTTTTTGAACACGATTACGGCCATCCCTGTGTTGTCCCGGTTGACTGTATTATGGCACCGGGAAGAAAAGCCGAGACGGTGCCCCGAGTACTCAAGTCGAGTACTCAAGTCGAGTACTCGAGGCACCACCGCCACACGCGTTGAGCTTTCGGCTGCAACTTCCTTGAGAGGAGACACGCGCGTGAGTCAACGGCATGACTCGAAGGACAAACGCAGCATCGCGTATTTGCACGCACGCGCGCACACACACGCGCACACACACACGCACGCGCACACACGCGCACACACACACGCTCACACGCGCACGCACGCGTACACACACACACGCTCACACACGCACGCACACACACGCACGTACCCACGCACACACACGCTCACACGCGCACACACGCACGTACCCACGCACGCTCACACACGCACGCGCACACACACACGCTCACACACGCACACGCACCCACGCACGCATCCACGCACACACACGCACGCCCCCATGCACACGCACACACACGCACGCACGCGCGCGACAGCAAGTGGATTCCGATCTGGAATAAGACAATATTGGAAAGACTTTTTGCGTTCATGAAACTACGTCCTCTTTTGTGCAACGATGTTTAAAAACACACACACACACACGCAAATCTGTAATGCACCGTCACAAAGTGTGTGCCTTGAGCAGCTGTTGATGATAGTACAGCCTTTCGATGAAGAAATTATGGGCAGATGAACAAAATGTCATAGCAGAGGCTTTTCCCATTGCTGTGTTCTTTTGAAGCGCCACTTCCATCGCGTCGCTTGTCCATTACCATGAAAGCAGGCGAGCTCTCTCTCAGCACCACGTGACAGGCACACACACACACATCCACATATAAACACAGACAAAGATCCCCCATGCACCCTTCGACAGACCATTACAGCAAGTGCTGTTAGCGAGCACCTACGTTGGCGAGCACGGCACACCAGGGGGCCCTGTTGCCAACACCACTCCCAGCCGCCTTTGTCTCCCAATTGTGATGGATGCCATCATCTTCATCATCGGCCGTTGTCGATCCACGACTGGATGAGGCCTCCCCCAAGCTGCCGTCACCGATCATGATGCTGCGATGCTTAATCCACCAAGGGAGCTGCACTCAGGCTAATTGAATCTCCTTTTGTGTGCGTCCTCTTGGATGCCTTCCATCCCTTGGCTGTCGCTCCGCTATTACTCCTAACCGTCGTCCATCAACCCTTCGACACGATGTGGCCCTGCCACAATATCACTTAACGTTTCTTCATACATTCGGTGTGATGTCATGAACCTGCATGTGTCCCCCAAACAACACGCGTTCCTCTGTGTCAATGCAATTCCGAGCGTGCGTCTCCCCGTGATTCTATTGGGCACTCTCCCGTTTTCTATGCGTTTCGTGAATCGCGATGTTTCCGAATCATGTCGTAGGCAGGTAGCGCACGCTGATGAATACACCCTCTCGCTGAGCCACTTCGATTTCGTCATGACTAGAGTTCAGATTTTCAAAAGCAATGAAAACCTGCTTATTTCACTATTTTCATTTAGGTCTGCCATCAACCAGCGGTCACATTTACACGTACTCTGCAGGGCACAGAAGAAGACAACTTCGTTTCATCTACATTCAGGCCAATTATTGGTATACAATTCCACACGGTAAAGGTAAAAGCAAAAAAATCCATGTCGTGTCAAATGTGAACCGCGAATGCCAATTTTCTAAATAATCCTGAAATTCGATTTCCACATTTATTTCGCACGGCTTTCTATTATTAACATCAAACACGCGGTCTCATTTGTGAGAACACCACGGATCGCCACGCCGTGCACGATATGAACCAATCATTGGGGGAACCCGGCGATGACAAAGCATAAAGTCATCAATTACTGAACGCAAGGCTTCTTCTCTCTGTGATCAAAAGGGAAACGACAGTTGGCAAGATATTTGGAATTTGTGTTCGTCCAATATTTGCATTGAAATGCATTGCTTCTAATTTGCATTGCAGCTGCAAATTATATCTGCCGCTCTTATCTTTGCGCACACATTATAGGTTCCTCTACTGCCGCTCCCCTTTCTTCGCCTCTTGGGATTTTGTTGAAACAATTGAAGAGGAGTCTAGAATGGTTTGAGGCACTTCTTTAAGTCACCAATGCACAGCAACACCCGTCCCACAGCGCCCTTCAACCCATCTACAATACACATTCCCGTCTGGCACGTCTGGGTCCGGGTGACGTCACTGCCCTTTGACCCCTTGCCCGTGCGTTACGATTAGTGCGTGTCGACGTGAGAGCGGAGACGTCGTGTCTGCGTGGTGCGTGTGCGTTCGGGTGGCTAGCAGATTCCCTACACAATTGCCGCCAAAATCTCCGTGCCATGGCCTTTCCCTCTTCTCTCCGTCCATCGCTGCGTCTTCCTTGCTGGCAGATTCCATCTCGTCCGACGTTTGATTGTTTGACATTCTGTCAGTTCGAGGTCCTGCTCTTCCCCTTGTACCATCACGTGACCCCCCCCCTTCCTCCTCCTCCATCAGCATCCTCAGTAGCCCAAGTCAACATTGTGTTGTATCCGTTGTTTAACTTTTTCACCCCTACATTTTTGTTAGCGTATAATGATGTTTTAATTTGCCATGCAACATGCAGGAATTACATTTTCTGTGGTAAGTTGTTTACAAATTATGCCTCTGTGGTATGACATTGCAATTGTTCGCTGGGCCAGTGCGCTTGAAATAAGCCACTTATTAAGCAGTTGTTGGGACCAACAACAACAAAAACATATCATCACTGAAGGTCAGTTGGTGGTGGTTATTTTTTTCCCCAATGAATTTTCTCAAGTACACTTTCAGGTACGGTACATAATTTAATGGGCACGTGAAAACGCCGTGTTCAAATGCGAGATGACTTCAATTGAATTCACCACTGCCACAATAACCCCCGCCTTCTGTGCGCCAGAAAACCACGAACCAATCCCCCATCCTCCACTCAAAACCTGTGAACGTCGTGACCTCAGAGATCTCCACGCGTTGGGTATCAAATTTAGCATTTCGTACAAATTGTGTTCGGGACTACTATTCGGTGCATTTGCAACTCATTTAACAGCGTGTGGTTATCTTGAACTGTGCTGATTGTATAATAACTATTTTATTTTACCAGGTAAGGTCTACTGAGCTATATAGCTGTTAATCAAAAGCGACCTGGCCACGAATGCTAACTCAACGCGGACATTTATAGCAGACAAATATCCTGAACGCACGTTTCTTAAAGTGGAGGGACCCGAAGAAAAATCCACGCGTCCACGGAGAGACAGATCATGCAAACTCCAAAAATACATCAGGAGTCAGGGTCCGGATAGAACCCACGACCTCCTGCATACCAGTCGAGGTAGTTAACATCTCGCCACCGTGGCACTCCTTGCCAACAATTGACTGAATGAAAATTAAAGGTCACCTGTTCATTATTAGAGTAATAATTACGAAGTGCGGCTTGCTGCCGCGGAGGTTATAATGGTCGAGCACATTGGACTTGCAATGCAGGGGTCGCTCGTTTGACCTCTCGGCGTGAAAGTTTAAACAATGGGCACGTTTCTTAGTTCCAACACCCTCTCTGTTCCGCAGTATAAATGGGTATACACCGGTCGGTTGATTGGCAGGTGTCGCATGTGGTGGGGTAAAGTGTGAGTACTCAAAACACTTCCAAAATGTCTGGCCAGCGTGAAAGGGTACTGTCAAATACCTGAATATGCCTCCCCAGTTTCGACAAATTATACATTTGCATCTGTCTCACTTTGCACCGTACGTTTTCGTCACTCGTAAACCTATATTGGAAATAGGCGTCGTCGTTGTGCTGTACACTAAATATATCAGTGCCATATGACCCAGGTCACCAGCTACTTGTTAGTTGTTGCTACAAGGGCCAGACATACTAGCCTTACGTGAAGTACCAGAACGGTATGATTTCGTGGCTTAGCAATTCAATAAGGAATAATTATTGTGCTCATTGTGCGATACGGATTAGCAACTAAACACGACTGCCATCATGCGGTTGGGTCGAAGTCCGATTCCTCATCGGTGATGTGCCATTTATTTAGAGTTTCGAAGTCCGCTCATTATGCGAGCCAAGTATCAATCTTGTGCCGTAGTACGTGCAGTGTACGAGTAATAGCCTCGGGGATTGTCAAAATATCAAAGGGAGTGTTGAATGATGGCACTGTCACCGTGACATGCTCTTTTGACAGCTGCAGAGACGTATCGGTTGGTCATCACCTCCGAGCACTGATCTGCTTAAGTGATGTTTAATTAAGAGTGCCCTTCGGAATGTTATCACCCATTCATAACCTCGCTGGCATGAATAGCAGCTCATCGGCAAGCACTCATCCACGGTCACCGACTTGTCTTGTAAATGAGGCTCGTCGGAAAAATATGGGTTTTATTTATTTAATGTGTTTGTATGATGTGCATTCAGTTCATGTGCCGGCTAATAACTTACTGATATACCACGACTTATACGTGTGGTATCTCAGTGTGGTATCTCAGTGTGGTCTGGTGACTGTTGTTTTTGCTGCCTTGGCCAAGCTTCATCAATCGGACTTGCACAATGTTATAGTTACTTTTTTTACCCTTTTCTCTATTTTGCGCTATTGTTTGTTGTAACTCGCTGACCCCGTGGCCATACTGTACATCTGTTAAAAAGAGCTTCATAGCTCATCGGATTCCTCCTGCAATCTAAATATTAATTCTGATAGATCACGTAGAAATGTGTAATGCATTTCTCTCGTGTATTTTGGATGAAGGATCTTGTTAGATACTTGACAGCAAGAGACTATCCCCGAATGTTGTCTGGCTAGCACAAACTTTTGCCAAATAATAAAATGAGCCCTTCAAATTCGGTCTTCGATTAAATGTAATACCAAAGAAAAAACACTCAATCGTATCAGTAATTGTTTATTCAAATGCAAAGACAACAGCACGCTTTAAGAACAGAATGTTAACATTTGCTGACCCTTCACATTTAAAAAAAATGTCAACCCTAGAACATAAAACAAATATAATAGCGGCATTAATGGGGTGGCACATGCGGAACTTTACGCTAACTTCCTAAGGTAATCTACGCAGCCAATGTACGCCTTTGGCTGCTCACTAATCAATTAATCTTGGTAAACGTTTACAAGTGACGTGGCCATATGAACTTAAAAATATATATAAAGATCTCATTTAGAATTTTGAAAATGTTTTATAGTACATGCTTTGACCAAGTTTCCCACCATACACAACCAACACATACAGCGAGTGAAGACACCCGTGGTTTGTGTTGCCAATTATCCTCAAGCATTCTGACCTCATCAGCCTCTAACCGTATTACAAGCAGCTGGGCGGAAACGAGTTCAGTTTGGGAAGACAACGCTATCCCACATTGTACGTTGCATTTAAAAAGTCAGTGCCTGCTCAATTATGCGTCTAACAAAACTCACCGGTTGGCAGTTGCGATCCAGCCGTGGGATTCTCACACTCTCATTGCAAGCGCCTCGCAATCGACCAAAAAGACAAACCGCTGAGTTACGTTCCACATAAATGCTACTGAAATTTACTGACCCTGAAAGGGATGGCCGAAGTTTAGCCAGCCAGGATTTTAACTTGTAGCCTTCCAATTGAGTCGAGCACACAACCAAAGGAACAAAAGGGATACATACTCAAACCAGATTTGACCACGAGGCACCTCAACAAAAAGAACGTTCAACTTTTAGCACCTTAGGTGAGAAAGTTAACAGTAGAAATGTTTTTTTTCCGTCAGATATCAAAAACACTTGTGTTGATAATAGGTGACGCTTTGAAACAACGGCCCTTCTTTTACAGCACACAGTCCTCTCTGTGCTATAAATAAACGTCACCTATTATGTTACTTTTTGTTCTTATTTGTGCTTGTGTACCGCTGCCAACAGAGCAGCAGTAGCTGCATCACAAGATATTTTCATTTAATGCAATTCTACGTGTGCCTCACCATCCACATCTTTGAATTAAAAAGTTAACGATGCATCCTCTTGTTACATCACTGTCACACTTGTATTTAAGTATTTTAACACTTCAAAAAGTGTGTTTATAAATCACATCTAATTGCTAGATGTAAGATAATTTTCCAAATATTTTCGGAATAGGCATACAATTACCAAAACATAGTTTGAAAGCAAAAGCAATGCTAAAGAAGCCAACAGTCCCAGTTAACAATTCAGATGCCTAAATTGTGAACCCCTTACAATTTCCCAAATAATCGCGTACGATCATTATAAATAAACTAGTATTGTTTACAGAAAATAACCCTCATCAGCTGGAATATTGTGTTGCAGACTGGAACATAAAGTCAATATGCATTTGAACTCAACGTTGACTAATGTATGTACACGAATGTCCCATGTACCACTTTTAATCAACAATGGTAACGTCAATGGGCGAGGTTACTTTAACGAGTGAACTTCTTCCTCCCAAAGTTGCACGCCGGATCCACAGAAGTGAACAACCTTCAGAGGCTGTCCATGCCCAATTTACCCTTTGCACTGCCTGTTGCTCCTTGCTGAAATTGCCTCATTATGTGCTGCAAGCCTGACATGCCACCTGCAAAGGACACAGAAAGAACACTGCAGATGAAACAATCTCCCCAACCCCACCATGTCGCTGTAGAGTCCACACACAGTATGCACAATCAAATGTGGGGCCCGATTGTATTAGAAATTCAAACAAATAGCCGTTGTTTTTTTTTCCTGTTAAGTACCATACAACTCATGACGTGTAGTTATGGAGCATCGGGGGTAAAATGGTTTGCTATTATTAAGCAGCATTTGTTTAAACAGGCAATACTCGGCACCGATTTCAACTTTCTGGGGTCTCATGACTAGCAGCCCTGATGTTAAACAAATAGCACTGAGTTTGTTCAGACGTCATTGGCCTGATCGTTCCAAATAAAAAAATCACAGGGTTCTAGGTCAACACAAAAAACAATATACAAAGAAAACGGTGCATTTTGTGGAGCATGATTAGTGATGATGTTCCGTATAGCCACATTTAAGTGTATTTTGATTTGTTACACTGATGCTCCCATTAAGCCAGTATCCCGGCTATTTAAGAAAAAAAAAACATCCATATTGCAGCAAACAAGTACAGCGTCATTATGCAATATTGAACAAAAGATCATAAATGAAACACGAAAATAAAAAAACTATGCAAATATGAGGGCATGAGGCACCATAAAAAGTTTGGTGCATGCGCAAGTAAACTGTGCGTTTTGGCTTCATGGGAAAATGAATAGGGGTAGTGAAAGAAGGCGCATACCCATCTGCTGCAGCACACGGGGGTCCATCATCCGCGCCATCTGCTGGTTGAGTTTTGCCATCTGTGCCGAGTTCACGTTCTTTGCCATGTCGCCACCTGATGCCACACGCACGGAAACGACGCTTAACAGCTTCCTAAACCGGTGATCAGTGGTACAAGCCTTGAACCATTACACGTACCCTGAATTTGAGTTAACGAGTACAACTTGTAAGATGGAAAGGTGACACTCGTGCAACGTAATACCATGGCCTCATTTTCATTGTAGCAATATAGATGTGTATACATATATAAACACATTTATTCATGCATGTAGGCTTCCGCGACCTATATTATCCATAAGAGGTTCTTTTCAGGTTATATCGTGTAAATATAAACGTGTCGTTAAGCCCCCTACAGCCAATTAGTAAGGTTTGTCATGTAAACAAAACACGCCTATTTGTTACTAATTCAGGATTCTAGTGTGTTGGAGAGTAAACCCACATTTACGTGACAAACCTTACGAATTGGCTGTGTCAGGTGATGGTGGGTTTAAAGACATTTATATTTACGCCAGCTAACTTAACAAAAACCTATATTAATGGAAAATGCAATATCTTATTTTTTACTTTGTTACAGCCATGACACCAAGGAGGGGTCCACTCACCTCACTGGTCAGTGAGATTAGTGGAGGGGGTCGGGCCCAAGACAGATTCCTGTTACCACTCACCACTTAAGTTAGCCGTGGCCAGGAATCAAACTCGATTAAGTGTCAGCGGGTTCAAACCATTGCACCACTGATGCCCCCTGACACTATATTACTCCTCTACATACAAAAGTTAATTCCTCGCAAATTGCCATTCGGATGGTCATTGTGCCAGACACTGCTCGCACTGGTACCTTTGAAAAGCCCCTTGATTCCTCCCATCTTCTTCACCATCTGTGCAAACTTGGTGTACTGCGTGAGCAGCTCCTGCACCTCGCGAGTCGACACCCCGGCCCCGCGCGCCACGCGCTGCACGCGCCCGGGCTGCTTCGTGAACAGCTTCGCCCCGTCCTTGTTGTCCAGCTCTGGCACCACAGACATCCACAGCATCGCTCCAATCAGTCAACATGCAGCCATGTCCACACATCTCACAACTTGTATCTCTCCAATTGGTCAACACACAGCCGTGTCCATGCAACTTGTGTCTGTCTCTCCAATTGGTCAACACAGAGCTGTGTCCACACATCTCACGACTTGTGTTTCTCCAATCGGTCAACACGCAGCCGTGTCCACATATCTTGTGTCTCTCCAGTTAATAAACACGCAGGGGAGGGACTTTAAATCGCCGGCGTACATGTACAATCGTGAAAGGTGCACGTGACCCTAAGGATGATGTTATACACTGACAATTAGTGTTGGTGTCCTTTTTGCACAATGCATGAATGTAATTAGTGCTGAATTCATGGATATTCACAAACACAAGCGCAGAGGAGGTACATATCAATAACGTATTTTGTGCAGTGCCCTCTGCTGCCCAACTCATAGTTCCGCAGCCCCGTGACAACCTGTTGCGCACATGATGCTTGGCCATCCAAGCACCTCGGATTAGCGTGGATGGCTATGTACGGTGCGGAATAAGTTCAACATACACACATACAAGCACTACCCAGACTGAACCCTGTGGAGCTGACAAGATTAGATGCAGTTCGGATGATTTCGTCACGGGCATATATTATGAATAAAATATATATTTTTTGAGTGTGTACAGGCTCTCTCTTATTAAGAGCATTGCACGTGGGATGCGCATGATTTTAATGGAGATTATAACAAAAGTCAATCTGCATGTAAAGTGTCCATATAACTGCATATATAGTATTTGTCAATCAACGCTTCTGTTAAGGATTGAGAAAGTAGTTTGGACTTGAACATTATCAGAAACAATATTTATACTGGAGGAATCTGAATGAACTATACGCTCTTTTTCACAGATGTCCAATACAATTTTGCTGTTGGAGAAAAGTGTGCTCTAACCCACCCACAGTCTAAACTACATTGATCATTTTCAGTCCAGGTATGGATAATGAGACATTCTACGTATTGTACGCCACAATGTTTACAAACATGCTCTCTTTTAGATGGCGAAGATGAATACAACAGTATAATGTATGTGCTTGTTCAGAAGCGCAATGTCCAAGACCACACCTTGGTCATTCATGCTGTCCATAATAGTCATTAGCTTCTTGAGACGTGCCATAGACTCTTGTTCGTTTCCTTTGCTCATGAAATCCGTCCCGAAGCCTGGGATCATACCCTAGACAATGGAAAAAATGCAACATGTTACGTTCGACAAAAAACTAAACTTCAGACATGATGTGCACACATTTTTTTTTCTATTCACCATTGCATTACTCGTTAATATTTTGTATTTGTCATTGGGAAAAATGCAGGGGAAATTGCTCACCATTATCTGACTGAAGGGTCCCATTTTCATGATGTTCTGGAACTGTTCGTACATGTCTCGAAGGGTAAATTGACCTACAAGATAGACAAGTCCTCGTTTAACACGTTTTCACAATAACACGGCTCTTCTACAAGGGAATACTTTTCGCAAAACAAGGAACACGCGGTCGACGACAAACTACTTTCTTGAGCTACACGGCCGAGTGGTGCGGGAATTCTGGCTATGCGCCCCTCCACTCTCCACCCATCACCACAATAAGCAACCACCATCTCAGGTAAGTGAAATGTTGCAAACATTTTATTATTTTAATAATTGTTACATACATCTCTATCCTCGCTCTCCCTCCCTCACAAACATAGCAAATGTAATGAGGCTCACACACACACATGTATAGGTAAATGTGGCATTTAAGTTATTCAGGCGTAATAAATCCGCGAGTGGGAAAGCGTGCACTTTGGCTTATATCCCCGATTAGGAGCTGGGATTACACCGTTGAGGATATCCTTCTCTATTGGTTGTCTACGCCATCATCAGCTTGGGAGTGAGGTGGTGACACCAATTAAGAGGGCAGGTGTATCTGGTTAAAGGCGCAGCAGCAGCAGCGTGTTGAGTATAGGCGCAGGGTCAGGATGAGAGCTCGGGACCGAGTGCTGCAACAACAGCCACGGGGGGCATTACACATTTAAACAAAAAAATACCCTTAGGAAATGTTATCCCAGAATACAACCCCACACCCCCCGCCACCTTTTGCATTATTTCTTATGGGGAAATGTGTTTGCTTTCAGGACGGTATCTGCCACGTTAAATGAGGAATTGCCATACTTTTCAAGAGATTAACTGGAGGAGAAAAAAAGAGAATGATCAGGTCTGATAGTGATGCAGGAGTCGCATGATTATATTCTCCACAATCGGCTCACCGTGCTTGAGTTTATCAATCAATTCTTCATTGTCATCAAGTTTGAGCTCATTCACTTTATCAATAAGCCCTTCAATATCTCCCATTCCTGCAAGAATAATGAGAAAACAATGTTAAGCTCATCCAACTCGCTGTCATTAAGATCAAAATCAGAGAAGTAAACAAACAACAAAATCAGCGACTTAAAAAAAGTATCCAATACAAGGTACAACTCACCCAGCAGTTTGCTGATGAAGGGCTGTGTCTTAAAAGGCTCAAAGTCATCAATGTGTTCTCCTGTGCCAATAAAAATGATCGGACTTCTTGTGGCTGCCACTCTGTTGGATAAATAAATTAAATTTACTCATCAGACGTGCTGAATTAATAACAAAAATACCAGAAAATGTACACCAATGTAAGCACACTTTGAACAAAAAATGCGTGCTCTGGCGTTGGCAGTGTTGCTCATGCACAAATAAAAACTTAACACATTCATCAATAACATTGCCCACAAAGAGGAATAATATGCAATTTGTCAGTAAACGCCCAACTCGTCGCCTATGATTTCCTTTTTCACAAGCAGTGCTATTGACACAAACGTCGGGGTTTAGGAATCGTAGAACATCGCAATACACCACTGTTTAAAGATTAAAAAGCCAGGCATTCCTGAGGCTCAAGCGGGTGACATTGTTTAGAAAATGAGAGGAGACACCTACGCGCTGAGTGCACCGCCACCCTTGGCATGGCCGTCCAGCTTGGTGACGATGACCGAGGCCACGTCCACTTTATCTTTGAAGGCCCGGGCCTGTGCTTCACACGCCTGGCCGATGGAGGCATCCATCACGTACACGATGTTGTCTGGGTTCTGAAAGATGAAAATTGCAACATTTTCAGTCGCTACGAAAGTAAACCGTTTCAACGTTCATCATGTAAGAACTCAATAGTTTCCGCAGACTGTTCCGGCATGCGGAGTGAAACGTCAGCAATGCTGAACAACTCGTGGTTGCAACCCAAAAATGCCCGAGATCACTCTGGCTAGGAGTACTGACCACAGCATTGGAAACTTGCAGCATTTCCTCGAACAGCGACTCCTCCTGCTTGTGACGGCCACTCGTGTCCACCACGATAATCTCAAAGTTCTCTCTCTTAAACTTGTCCACTCCATCCGCCGCGATCACCACCGGGTCAACCTCTGTGTAACTGCAAACGTAAGTTCGTCAAAGTCGCTCAAGCTACAAAGGACTGCAAAAAAAACCACGTTAAAAGGTCACGATGAGGTGGCGCTTATTAGCAAGCACGCAGCTTTTACGCACGCAGCCCTTAATCAATCCAGTGATGGATGAAGGCCTCCCCACACCGTGTGGGTCGTGGGAGATATCGAACCATACTTCATCACACAGATCAGTGCGGGTTGGTGAAGATGGAGAGCACTGATGTTGAAGCATATTACACGCAGCTTACCTGCCGTAGAACGGTATGCGGGCTTTTGTAGCATTTTGCTTCAGTTGATCGAAGGCACCTATGTGGGAAAGAGTAAATTACACTCAGTTCAGGATGTTTTTGTGGATGATGGAATGACAACATAAGATGTCCCCACTACTTTTGTATTTATGAATAGTTTTACTGCGATTCCTTCTTTAGTCGACAGAAATTAGCTTTACCTTGTGAACGAAGTTCAACATACATACACAGAACTGAAAATGGTATACAAGCTTTGTTTCGAGTGGTTACTACAGATATAATCTTATACGGTTGCAGTTAAAGCATACAAATATATTACAGTAAATTACGATACATTTCTAATGTAGTTTACTACTTTTTGTAAGTTACAAAATACAAATACCACGAAACAATTTCATGATAACATTTAGAAAGAAAAACATTATTGTGTTCCTTGCTTAATTTTGACTTTAAACTTTCATGACTGCAGGAATTCATATTCTTGGTTCTTTCGGTAAAGTCACGTAGATATAATTTTTTAAAATTAAAAGAAATAAAAAAATAAAAGCAAAAAATCCACGACTTTTCCATCGCAACACAAGCGGTCTTCATAGGGGGAGAGATGAAGACCACTTGTGCTGCGATCGAAATGTCGTGGGTTTTTTGCTTTTATTTTAATTTTCTATATACGTGACTTTACCGAAAGAACCAAGACTATTCATTGCTTAATGTTTGTCACTAATTACAGTTCACTGTTGAACAAAGTCTTTGAAAAACGATGCCACTTCCAGGTTGGCCACAGTATCACAAGGTGTGTTGAAATTCAGTTTCCATGACCAAAGAACTTACCAGCTCGAAAAGTATCGGCACAGACCAGACAAGCTTTCCACCCTTTTCTTTGGTAATAGTAAGCAAGCTATGAAAGAAGGGGAATTAGGAAGCATTAACCAATATACATAGCAACAGTGCAGTCACATCTTTAATGCTTTTGAAACCACAATGAACATAAGAAGTACCCTTTGACTCCAGGATTATTTTTAAATATTTTCATGTCATTCTCCCATTGTATCCATTGTGCTACCGGCTTTATGTCCTGAGACAAAGTATCCATTCGGATCTTTCTCTGATGCCCTTCACTCCTTGTGCTTTTATGCCTAAATTTATTTTCCTTGTTTTCATTTTTCTCTCTTGTTTTTGCCCTGGTAACTCTATTTTCTTAATTGAGTTTCTTAAGGTGATTTGACACTGGCATTTAAGCGCCAAATAAAGTCAAATCCTGATCTTTCAAAAAGCACACACAGAAACCCTGCAAATACATGAGAACATTAACATTCATACTTTCTCAAGGTCTCACTTTTGTGCACGTGGTGGTTTTTCCACTGCCCTGCAGTCCCACAAACATGATGATGTTGTGTTTTCCTTTTACAGGGGTCCATGCCTTCACCCCAGGGTCCACAAGCTGGAAAAAAAACACAACCAAGTGAAATTAGTGATCTCAAAAAGTAATAATAACCATATAAAAATAAGTAAAGCAAACAATTTTTGGTGGCAACTCCTTGTTTTCTACTGGCCTCTATGAACTCCAAGCTTATGTCAATGTTGGCTATTGTTGCTAAGCTTAAATGTCGATTGTGACATTACTTTATCCAATTAGACCTTCACCATCAGACAACCCAGCATCACTTGTTTAATGTCACATTCTGTTGATGAGATTCAGAAGTTAGAAATCAATCCAAAGGTTGCCATGTGAAACAGATGTTGCTGGAAACATATGGGTCCAGAAGGCCCATAGAGCAATGGACCAAAATGTTATTTAGTCCTACATGGTGGATATCTATTATTTTGATATTGGTATAGGCTACAATTAGTGTCAAGGTGCTCTTGCATCCTTTACTTAGCCAACACTATATTTTTGGAAATGTAATGAAATTCATAATATTACAAAACATGAGTGTTCTAAATCTTGGTCAATAAACTTATTTCCCATAATGGGAAAAAGGCAACCTACATCAAATGTGTCACAAAGTATAAGTGTGCACATCACCTGTAGTCTTATTGAGTGTTAGGATTCCCTTTCAAGATGGTGCTAAATTAAGATGTATGGCCAATTCGATTTGAGTGTTCGGCAAGTGGGAAGAAATCACAGCGTGCCGAGAAAACCCACAAGAGGGGATAACACTCAAAAGTTCCACAGAATGTGACTCCATTGCGCTCCTGTCATGTCCTGGCCACGTCTGAGCCCAAGACTCAGAATGTGATACAACCTTGACAAGTTCCTTGAACACTGTGTGCTGGATCATCCTCCTCTTGTTGAGGCCAGTTGCCATCTCTTCCAAGTCGATCGCGGACCTGCACACACAAAGCCACTTAGAATATATCTACTTTGTTACACGTTGCTGGACTTCATGTCACGTAAAACAAGGGAGGAAAAGCGTGCAACACAACATACTTGACATTTTCTCTCAGTGTCTTCACAAGCTTGACGTTTACATCCGATTCCAGCAGAGCCGCACATACTTCCTTCAGCATAGAATTGAGGACCTAGATTTTTCAAACAAGGAGAAACGACCATTCGTTACTCAATGTACACACACACACAACTCAACCACTATTCCCCAAAAATAAACAGACAGCAATCATTGGCAATTTTGCAGTGATGTCAACATGAGTCTTGTACCAGGCTAGGTGCACTTTGTGGCCAGTAAATATTTTAAGGCTCACTGGTAGGTCACCCAGACATCACATGAGATTTACTGGTTAAAACAAACCGTGGTTATTGGCAGCACCTAGCATTGAGATACGCACCTCAAGTCACGTGATTTCCCCTAGAGCAGTACTCATGAATCACGTAGACAAGTTCAAAGAAAATAACAAACAAAAAAACTACGACGTATCGATCGTCATCAGGCTGAAAAAAAGAGAGGAAAACCTGATGACGACTGCTTGCGTTGCCATCGAACGTCGTAGATTTTTGTTGTTTTCTTTGAACCCAATCTACGTGACTTTGCCTGCCGAAAGACCCAAAGAATGTGAATTCCTGTAGTCACGAAAGCTTTAAGTCGATAAGTACTCATCTTTATTTATAATGCGCAATTCTAAAAATCGGTATCAAAGCTCACTCTACTGTTCACCATGAGAATTCCAGTGGTGGAACATTCCGCATTCCTATGGCGGGGTCCGGTCTACACATCAACACGGACCATATGGTGGGGTTGCCAATTGACCACATGAGCGACTTAACAATGTTATGCTGACGGCCTTCCAGCACTACCTGGTCAACACTCCTCGAGTATAATTGAAGAGGAAGACATCTGTACGAATGGTCTACGTTAATACATACTAACGGGGATCATTAAAATGCTTACCCTATAGCGTATAAACGTAGACAATGCAAATACATATCGTTATTCGACGTTAATACGTCGTGGATATCAACAGAGAAAAATGCCATATGGGTGCTGTAACTTAACAACCCACGGCAGATTCTAGAACTGTGTTGTTTCCAGTTGTCTTAAATGACGCAATCGCATCTGGCGAATAACAATAATACCGTGGCAACTTTGTCAGCCTTTAAGGCGCAAAGAGCCACAGCCCAAGACCGCCCCTATTGGCTTCACACGGAGTTCAGTGTCAATTTATCGGTAGGGCGAGCCGCGCTCTTTGAACAACTTGGGGATTCTTCCCTTCTCGTTGTTAAACCCCGGTTTACCCACGGGCAAGGGGCGTATTCCCGACCCTGCTTTGGTGGGTTCGCGTCCACCACACGGTGTCTTCGTAACGTAAAGTCTGAGGCTCACGCGGCACGAGAGAGGCTCGCAGAGCCGGGGCACTGAACGCGACCCCGGTAACCCGTCTTGGAGGCGGATCTTGATTTTGAAAGCTTTCGTGAACTTGCAGGAACCCACACACTCTTTGGTTATTTCGGTAAAAGTCACGTACACGTAGGGACATTAAACGGAGGGGTAATACATCACGACGTTTCGATCGCGACGCAAGCGATTCGTCATCAGGCGGACAAAAAAAATATAATTCAGCGGTGGAACTAGTGAATCAGCTTGGGAGAGAGAGAGAGCTGTTACAACAATGTTGTTATATGTGACTTCTGTTGGGCGTTCGTTAACAGCAACAACAGCGGCAATACTCCCGCCGTGCCACGAACGACGGCAGCGAGAGGCCATCGCCGGTCACAGAGAGGCCATCGCCGGTCACAGAAAGGCCATCGCCGGTCACAGAGAGGCCATCGCCGGTCACAGAGAGGCCATCGCCGGTCACAGAAAGGCCATCGCCGGTCACAGAGAGGTCATCGCCGGTCACAGAGAGGCCATCGCCGGTCACAGAGAGGCCATCGCCGGTCACAGAGAGGCCATCGCCGGTCACAGAGAGGCCATCGCCGGTCACAGAAAGGCCATCGCCGGTCACAGAGAGGTCATCGCCGGTCACAGAGAGGCCATCGCCGGTCACAGAGAGGCCATCGCCGGTCACAGAGAGGCCATCGCCGGTCACAGAAAGGCCATCGCCGGTCACAGAGAGGTCATCGCCGGTCACAGAGAGGCCATCGCCGGTCACAGAGAGGCCATCGCCGTCACAGAGAGGCCATCGCCGGTCACAGAGAGGCCATCGCCGGTCACAGAGAGACCCCCCACCCCCCCTAAGATCGTCGTTCGGTGTCACCTCCTCGTTGATGATGGTCGCATTGCTGAGGGAGCGCAGCGCCGCCGTGATCTTCCTGCCGAGGTCCGCGAGCACCATGCTGCCTGCTGTGTCTCCCCCGCGTCTTTATCTCGCTGTGTCTCTTTCTCTCCCTGCGTGTCTCTCTGGGTATGTCTCTCTATCCCTGTGTGTCTGTCTGTGTATGTCTGTCTATCCCTGTGTGTCTGTCTGTGTATGTCTCTCTATCCCTGTGTCTCTCTGTGTATCTCTCTATCCCTGTGTATGTCTCTATATCCCTGTGTATGTCTCTCTATCCCTGTGTCTCTCTGTGTATGTCTCTCGATCGCTGTGTCTCTCTGTGTATGTCTCTCTATCGCTGTGTCTCTCTGTGCATGTCTTTCTCTCCCTTTGTCTCTCTGTGTATGTCTCTCGATCGCTGTGTGTCTCTCTCTCGTCTCTCCCGGCCCAGCTAAGCAACAGCAAGCGGCGGTTGTGGACTAAGCGCTTGGGGCCCCCAACTCTCCTTGAATCGATTCCGCCCTGCAACGATCCGGACCTCGGATCGACTCCTCTTTTAGAATGAGAATATATTATTTCTTTATTTATAAATTTCGATGTATGTATACTCAAGGAATCCGATAAGCTATAAAGCGCTTCACCCTCCCCCCACAGCTGTTGCCAGCAGGGGCACGTCAGGTCAGATACCAGCCTTGGAATGTTTAAGTGTGTACAGGGTGATCCAGATGTCTTGTGACTGTCGTTTCATTCTTTAAAACTTTAAACAAAGGTTTATTTAAAACATAAATTAATATGCAAATTAGGATAAAACGATTGTGGGGGGGGGGGTAATTAATTGTGGGTCACAAGACATCTGGACCACCCTGTACATCACCGTGCAGTACTGTGCATTAGTGTCAATCCACTGCTGGATGAGGGCCTCCCCCAACACGTGGTGCGGGTCTTGGGGTTCATTTGGCCACTCGTGCGGAACTTTTTGGTTCGTGTTGTCATCGTTCGCCGTGACGATTTATCGATCCATGTCCACACGATGAGAAACTTCCTTGAGCTATCATTTGTGGTCAGCTCGCTTCTTTCTGAAAAAAAAGCACGTAGTTCAGTGCGTCCTACCTGATCATATATATTTTTTCATATAGTTTTACTCATTCATCACTTTTTTTTCAAGCGATTGGTTTACCTTTCCTGTACTTTGCGCTCCTATCGTGGTTTTGTATTATATGTTGCAACGTTCTGCTGTTAAAGAGCTTTACATCTCATCGGATTCCTCCAGTATAAATAAATATTCCATAGCTGTCAACCCCATACGGTTTACTCTGTATTCTTGTACAGGGTTAAATTAGTTTTCAGGTCCATACGGCTTGCAGCCGTTTCAATACGGGCAAAGGCATTAATTTTGTCTGTTAAATTAAATAATAGAGTACGACGTTTCGATCGCAAAACAAGCAACCGTCATCAGGTAGAACTATTTGTTTGTGTTTCTCCCTTGTGATGGGACTTTGTAGGGATGAACGTTGAGATTTATAAGGGGCACGGGGTGACCAATAAGTTCTGAATTGGTCTGTAATAAGGTTTTACTCATTAATTACTGATAAGGGGTTGACAGGGATGGTTTTCTGATCTCCCCCGCCACCTACGGCAAATCAATTAATGGCCAAGATGTTTGACAATAAAGATTCAAGAATTGTATAATTTTTATTGGCGGCCACTCGCAGCTGTAAACGCACACACCTTAGAGACGATGTGAAAAAATAAGAATGTGTTTTACCCCCTCTCTGGCAATAAAACAGGTGTTAAGATATTCTTGGTTCTTTCGGTAAAGTCACGTAGAAGGGAAACAAAAAAATATAAAACAATTAAATTATCACGTTTCGACTGCAACACAAGCAATCGTCATCAGGTGTGTGATGATTTGCTTGTGTTGCAGTCGAAACATCGTGTGAGAATTGTATTGTTTCATATATATTTATTATTATTTTATTGTTTCCCTTCTACGTGACTTTACCGAAAGAACCAAGAATATGAATGCCTGCAGTCACGAAAGCTTTAAATAAAAATGTAGGTGTTAAGATGTTCAAATACCAGATAAGAAACATTTTGCAAGGAATCAAGTGACTGCATTAACCACACACGGTACTAGTGGCGAACATGCAAACAAACATGCTGTGATAATATATGGGCATCATCAAGACATATCAGCCTTCTGTATGGCCTAGTTTCACCAATGTCAGACCAGAGAACACCACAGGCGAACATGACGATGGCAATGCACTATCAGGGCATGTATACCTCGGGGTGAGCAGCTACAAAATGGGAAATGTTTTGCCAGTGTCAAAGTATTAAATAATAATACAGTAGGTGTTTACCCTTCTTGGCAATACAAGAGGTGTTAAGATGCTCAAAACACCAGATGGCAACCTTTAGCGATGAATCATGTTCGCATTAACCACACAGAGTACTTGCGATGACCATTCAAAATGTATCTATTTGGTGGTTTGAACATCTTACCACTTGTTTTATTGCCAGTAAGGGTGAAACCTATTTTAGTTTTTTTTCTCATACTTTGATACTGGCTAAAAAAAGGTCCCATTTCTAAAGAGACGATGTTGAACTTTGAATCGATCCGTGAATCGCCAAGTGTGATTCTAGTTCACTTCAGAATCGATTTCTGCCTTGTGGTGGAAGGAAGTTCGGTTGGGGGCGTTCCGACGTCAGCGGCTTCCGGGTCAAATTCATTAAAGGTTCCGAGTTTTCATGGTGCCATTACCTTTTATATATTTTATTAAGTCAATGCTCTTGCTGGCCAATTAGACGAATAAAACGCCGCAAACATTGAGATAACCCATTCGTGAAAAGCCATTTGAGTTTCACCCCCTTTGTTTTTAAACCGTCACAAGTTAATTTACACGCGGAACTCAATATTCGAGCGGGCAGAGCTCGGGGGATTTCCGCTCTGAGCGGCCGCCCATTGGCTGGTTAGCGAGGCCACGTGTTCCCCTCCACGCGTGCCACGTGGACCTTCCACGCGATCACTCCGCAGCCCGTGCACGGCGGAGGCTTCATCGTCGTTGTTTAGAACGGAGCTGGTGGCGCCGATGTGTGGAGTACAACCTGCCAAATAACGTGTCGTCAGCTCGGCGGCGTGTTTAACAAGCCTGCCCGCCGATGAGACACAGGATGGCCGAAAGCAGTCCAAATGTCAGAATGTCTATACTGGAGGAATCCGATGAGCTATAGATTGAAAATGTTGTGGATTTGCCCTCCCGACACACCGGTGTTGCTGTACTAATAGCGAATTGGCATGTTATTTACGTGACAATCGTAATTGGCTGTTGGGTGGTGGCGAGTTTAACGCCACATTTACGTGATCTAACCCAAACACCCTATCTTATGAGCTATACAGCTTTTTCACATGATTAAAGGCTGCTGCTGGGTTATATTGATCTGAAAGTCGAGTAGTCGGTGGATAAATTGTTGGTGTAGACCAGAGATATATGCAGTTACAAGAACTACTAATCGGAGCTGTCCGCTTATGCTGGCGGCATTCAGCTCGCCTTTTTGTGGACTTTATTTAAAAGTGGGCTTGCTAGAATGATTGGCAAGCAAAATATACATCCACATCGCAGGCTCATGAACTCGGGAGGCCTTCAGCAGTGGATTGCTCATGGCTAATATAACTATACTTTTTAAGTGCAGTTTTCAGCCCATCTACGTGGAAGTCACTGCTGCTCAGAATCAGGGATTTGTTACTTAGCCAGTTCTACAGTATCCTGAATATGGAAATGTTTTATAATTCATGATCTTTGTACAGCAGGAATGGCTTGAATACTAAATTAACTTACTCGTTATACACTTAATTTCATCATTTATACAAGCCATGTCCAAACATGAAAATACTTTTCAGGATAATGTAAGCTTGAGTTGTGCAAACATTCAGCCGCTTCCAAGTTAACGTGTCATAATCTTCCAAAAATTAAGGATTATTTTAATATCAATGTTTAAACGTACAACTTTAATACATCTTTTATACAAAATAAATAATATTCCATTTTAAATAAAGCTTCCCAGATGGATGCATTCAGGTAACTAAAGTACTGTTTGGCAATGTACAAGGAGTTAAACATTACGATATGGTTAACTTTAGGCATTTTGTGACATGAAAGTAGTATCTGAACTTGACCTGATATTTAACTTTTTCTAAAATTAAAAATGTATCACGTGGTTTGCACAAATTTAAATCATGGATTTTGTTAACATTCAAATAAATTACATTTTGCAATAAAGATCGCATTTATAGACCAACTGCAAAGCAAAAAGGACATTTAAAAAAGATCAGAATGCCATCCATTCTGTCATGTAGACACATGTTTCAGGAGAGATGTCTCCGCCTTCATGACATTCATGAAATATCTGGTGAAAATGAAAACAGTGATTAAATTCCATACTTCATGCATCTGAGATGTGTAAAATGCTCATTAACAAAGATGTGCTCATCGATATATAAAAGGGAAATTTGTGATTATGTGTGTCTGTTCGAAATGTTTAGCATACTTCCCGACATGCAACAAACTTGAAATTTGGCATGTGGGTAGCTTCCGGACTGTACAAAATGCAAAAAGTATAAAAATAGACTTTTGTATTTTGGGGGGCGCAATAATGGATATATTTTGCACAAGTGAGCAATGACGTCACATCTGCGATGTCACCCGCATGCGGCAGCGTCACGCAGTGTGCCTGCTGACGTCACGCATCCCCCCCCCCCATCCTCCGCGTAGAACGTGTATTAATCCAAACAAGAATTCAAGTCTCGGACGAAGCCGGGTAGTAAAACTAGCCTGGTTATAAAGTCAAAAAAATCAAAGGATATGACACAATTTATATAGGTTGCAGCCACATGAGGCCTTCCACTTGATATATACCTCTTTATCCATCACTGCAAGCTGCTCAATTCAGTAACTATAGAGAATAGTTTCCACTTGGCAACACCGGTTGCAATGAGCTTGGTCAATTTATTTGTGTCTGAAAGAATCTCTTGTGATATAAGTGACCGAGATGTGTTAATATATGGCCTGCCAAAGTATCTGAAAGTGCTATTAGACCCTCAAGAATGAAACGATTAATTCCCCACACCCATTACAAAAGTTGAAATTGGTTTGTGAGCATGGCAATACTTACGGGGCAGACACCACATGGTGTCCGGACAAGCCCTGTGGGAGGC